CTCTCTCTCTCTCTCTCTCTCTCTCTCTCTTCTCTCTCTCTCTTCTCTCAGGCTCTCCTCCTCGCTCCTTCACTCTCCCTTTTCCCCCCTCTCTGCTTTTTGAAAAAAAAAGGGGGGGGAGAAAAAGCAAAGAAAAGGCGCAAATCATGCACAATATTGTCTTTTGCGGTTTATCTTCCTGGGGAGAAACTTTCACCTCCTCAGCCGGGCGGTGAGCGCGAGACTGATAGCAGCAATCATTCCTGCAGATAAATGAATTGAAAGGACGACACCGTCGTTCCCCCCCCCCCCTGATGAATGGGAGCAGGGGGAGGCGTCACGTGAGACCGACGCGGGCGACGATTGGTGAGGCGCCAATGCCCCCACATCCCCCTCCCTCGGCCGCTGCGCCCACGAAGGGCGCGCGGGGGCGCCGCGCGCTGCTCATTGGCCCGCCCGCCTCATCAATCCCAGGTATTGTAAAGCGCTTGACATCCCCTTTTGACTAACAGGGGTATCTGGAGTAGCAACTTTTTTTTTTTCCTGGCAAATTTTTCCCCCTCTTCTCACGGAAAAAAAAAATAAACTACGATTCCTTTTCCCTCTCATAGTCTCTCTCTCTGTCTCTCTCTGTCTCTTCCTCTCTCTCTCCCCCCCCACCTAGAATCTTCCACTGATCTCTCTCTCTCTCTCTCTCTCTCTCTCTCTCTCTCTCTCTCTCTCTCTCTCTCTCTGCCTCCTCCTACCCCTCTTGGTTTCCCTCCTCTTCTAAGTCCCCCCCTTCTCCCTCTTTCTAATTTCTTTCTCCCCTCCCTCTGTTTCTTCCTCCCCCTCCCTCCCCCTTCCACTCCTCATCCCTCTGCCACTCTCCTTCAAACCTCCACTGAGCGATTATAGACTAGAGACCCCCGGCGTCTCGTAGAGCAGCAGTTGGGGACCAGCTGATAAACACCCCAAAGGCACTTCCAGAATGTCCCGATTCAGCAACTTTCTTTTCTCCCTCCCTCCCCTTCTCCCCCCTTCAAGGGAGGGCAGCAAAGGAGGCTTTTGTTATTTGCTTCTTTTGAAGTTTGCTTCCTTTTTGCCGGGCCTCTCTCCTGTTTATAATTTAAGATTCGGGAGCGCGAGGGCACGCCACTCTCTTTCCTAGAAACGTGATTTCTCGGTGTCTCCCGAAGCCTCAGTTTTCCAGGCTTCCTTCCTGCGTGCCCACTCACCCCCAAACACAGGTGGATGGAACTCTTAAACTTTTCCCGGTGTCTGAGGTTTGTCGGGTTGGGTTTTGTTTGTTTTTGTTTGGTTGGTTGTTTTTTTTTTTTTTTAATGGCAGTTTGAAAACGCTGTTGCTGATTTCCCTCCACCCTCATTTTTCTCTTTCCCCTGGTCCCGTCCGTTGTCTGCTTTGCCCCCACCCCCAACCCGCTCACTCTGCCCTCCAATTCCCATCCCCGGCCCCTTTCATTCAGGTAAAACTGTAAATTTCCCAACGTGCCATTGTTCCTCTGGATCTCCCAAAGCTCCCTAGAGATCCTGGAGTACTTTTTTTGGTATTTAAATCCCCAGTAGATAGGACCAATGTAAATTTTGTGACATTCAAACCTTTTCCAGTTCACAAATCAGTCACCCTTGTCACAGTTATTGAAATTCCGCAACTTGCCACAACAAGACGGTGGAAAAAGCGGGCGCGGTCTTTGTTGCCGACCAGGCTTTTGATCGCCAGAGAAAATTTACTTACCTTCAGATGAGTGAGCAGAAAAAGAAATAACACTCCCTTTGATTTAGTTAGGAAAATGCAGACATTTGGATTCCGTGCAAACATACAACACTCGCTTGTTTTCGCGACGCGGCCCTCGATTAACCTGTCTTTGCCCAGCGCAAAGTCTATTCAACAACTGCGCGTAGTTGCTTTTTGTCCCATCCACAAAGAACCATTGACTATATATTAAAATGATTGTTGAAAGGTAGAGGAGTATGGCACGTAAAAGCAGGGGAAAATCCCTGTAACTCAATCAATTAAACCGAGCGACATTTATACATTTTAAAAAATTCACGCGGATGTGGAGCCGGGGGCGATGGAGGTTGCGTTTCTCCTTAGCTCAGTTTTAAGCCCATCAGCTTGGCCCAGGATTTAGCCTTAGCGCCTGCATATTCATTAGGTCTAATTATTTTCTAGTAAGGAAAACACAAAAAGCCAAGAGTCGGAATCCTTCAATTTGCCCTTTGTTTCTAACTTCATTTGGCTTCTTTGCAGCTGAATCAAGGCTCTAAACTCTTTTCCAGACAAAGGGACCTTCAACTCATCCTTTCACGTGATGTCCGGTTAGAAAACTTACCAGTTTGCCAAGCATAAGGAAAATGAAATGGTCCCCCCTCTCCTCTCTCTTCTCTTTCTCTCTCTCTCCTTTCTCAGCTAGCTTTCCTAGGGCTGGAGGAAGAAAGGTCAGAGCTGCTACTTGTAGCCTCCTTTTCTGTTTTTTTTCAGTTTTCTTCCCAGATTCTGGTTTGGGCACAGTGAACTGGAATTAGCTATCCTTTATAAACACCACACACACACACACACACACACACACACACACACACACAGGCTCTGAAGTCAGATTGTGGCTGGGGATGGTTTCTCTGTGTCTGAAGAGATTGTGTTTGAGCATCTCTGCTTGTGGGGCTTGAAAACAGAAATTCTAGGAAAAGGAAAAAAAAAAATAAAGACTGTTCTGCCCCCGGCAACAAGTCTGAGCCCAATGCCCCAGCACTTCTCACCTACTCTGAATGGACCCTTGTAATGAGTGACAGGAGGAGCTGGAGCAGAAGGTGGTGGGGCTGCTTGTGGACCTATCATATATTTTGTTTGGGGGAAAAGATATACCAGAACCATTCATTTCTTTTTGTTCCCACAAGGAGAGTTGGAGCCTAGAATTATGAAAATCTTATAGTCGAGGAGATATTTCCCCTAGAGGCTACACTGGTCTTTCACTGGGGAGAACAAATATCGAACCCACCTTGACTGCTTAAAAAAAAAAATAGGGAGGGGACCTGAGGGAAGGGTGGCGGTTGGGAGAGGGGAGGGAAAATAATTCTTCAAAAAAGAAAGTCAGGCTTCTCTCCTCCAGCCTGTGGAAAATCCACCGAGGACGTTGACAGGGTGTATTTTTAGGAAACCCATCCAAATGTACAAGGTAAGAGTAAATGTGAGAGGGGAAAAAAAAAGTTGTGGGTTGTAGAAGTTATCAAGTGGGATTTGCGGCGCTCTCTGCAGGAAACGCGAGCGGCTCCAGTTCAAAGCCACATGCACCAACGTGACATATAAGCCATTAAAATATCATCCTGACGGCTCATTTCTGCTTCATCATACATTCCCTAACTGCTTTCCCGAAAGCTGGAGAAGGAGAAATGAAGGATGACCGCCTCGGTGGAACCACAAAAGAGGCTTAGCGGGATTTGTGGTCCCCCCTCATCCACCCCAAAGTGATGTGCAGAAATGAGGTGATCCGGGCAACAGGTGGAGCAGGGTAAGTGCTTGGAACCAGGGGGGTAAGACGGGGAAGACCTGTACCTCCAACAGCCTTTTAGCAAGTGCCCTTATGGAGGCCATAGGCACCCAAACCACGCTGGGGCGAATAGGCCCAGTCAGACTTTTCTCCATTCCTACCTACACACACACACACACACACACACACACACACACACAGCCTCCAGGGTACAGGCCCCACCCCACTGGTTCTAAAGGGGTGGGGAGGAGCCCTTCTGCCGAGGGGCAGCATTGAGGATGAGTCCTTTCTTTCCTCCCGGGAGGAGTAAGGGTGCAAGAAAGACAGATGGGGCTCCTACTGGCAATGGCACCAAAACCATCTTGCTGCCCACCCGTCTTCCCTCCTCTTTTTTTTGTAAATTGCCTGGGTGTGCCCACCGTGGGCACAAGAAGTGCAAAACTTGGTCAGTTTTGCCCTTCTTGATCATGGCGGGAACCGAGAAGG